CTCCCAACATTGTCATGAATTGAAGTGCAATCATAATAAAAAAAAAAAAGATTAAAGAACGAGTTGGAGAGTATTTAACCTGCTAGATTCAACTTAATGCCTAGATTTCCAAGTTACATCCACTTTGAGGATCTTCGTTTTAACAAAAATCACAAGACTGCTCACCTCTGTTCCGCTAACCAGCCACTGCTCCACCCGTCTTGTTCCCTCAGATGCCTGGATCCCCATCACTATGCCAAGCACATGGCGTCCCTCAGCAGAAGTTTGTTCAATGGATAGATAAATGAATATAAGTAATTCCAGGGGTAAGCCTGCTTCATACACCACTGCCGAATTGCCTCATATACCTCTCTTAAGCACATCCAAGAAAGAAAAATTTATAATAGCATTTCCTGAAATCTATTCATTCATTTTGCTAACCGAAGTTACATGTCAGAAAGGGTTCTATGAAAAAAATAAGTGTTGAGATAGGTAAGTTAACCAGGTTTCTTTATTATAGGACTTCTTAGAATCTTTAATAAGTTCATGTGCATTTTCCATCTCCATGGGAGGAAAAGATTATGAAGTGTTTCTCAAACATGTTTGATCACAGAAATCTTTCTGCATCTCATACTGCCATCCAAATAGCCATCCCCACCTGCCCCTGCCCTTTCTTGTTAACAGAACTCTGATTTTGTTTGGGCAGCAATGTTGCCAGCCCCAGAGGACGAATCATGATCGGTTCTATGGCAATCCTGACAAGTCTGCCCCTTTGCTAAGTTCTCACTTTCCTGGTCTCCATTCTAGAAGAGAGTGGCCATGACCATGTGATCCACCGCTGGCCAAAGAGCCCCAGGGGAAGTCAGTGTGGAGGATTCGGGTAGTTTTCCTCCCTGATCAAAGGATTTCTGAACCTTTCTAGCTGCCTGCTCGCTCACTGCCTGTGATGCTGGTGTAGGATGATGGCATATGGAGCTGTGACTCTGGCAGTTTTAAAGCATGGCACAAATTCTTCAATCTCCTCATTGAGAGGTGGTATCTATGTACTGCTCTCTTGAATCTGGCGGGCTTGTGACTGCTTCGACAACAGAGTACGATACAAGCGATGGGCTGTATGACTTGCACAGCTACAATGCTTGTCTTGGAGCCCTAAGCCTCCTCCACCAAACCGATGACCCTGAGCTGGTCATGCTGAGGAGCCCATGCCACAGAAAGAGGTCAAGTACAGGTGCTCCTTTGACTCACCCTACTTCAGGCACCACATGCTTGAATTAAGAAGTTTCTGAGGGGCTTCCCTGGTGGCGCAGTGGTTGAGAGTCCGCCTGCCGATGCAGGGGACGCGGGTTCGTGCCCCGGTCTGGGAAGATGCCACATGCCGCGGAGCGGCTGGGCCCGTGAGCCATGGACGCTGAGCCTGCGCTCCACAACAGGAGAGGCCACAGCAGCGAGAGGCCCGCATATGGCAAAAAAAAAAAAAAGAAAAAGAAAAAAGTCTCTGAGATTCCAGGGACTTCCCTGGTGGTCCAGTGGCTAAGACTCTGTGCTCCCAGTGCAGGGGGCCCGGGTGCTATCCCTGGTCAGGCAACTAAGAGTTGGCATGTTGCAACTAAGAGTCTGCAACCTGCAACTAAAAGATCCCACATGCTGCAACTAAGACCCAGCACAGCCAAATAAATAAATAGATAAACAAATATTTAAAAAAAAAAGAAGTCTCTGAGATTCCAGACTGGCTATTCAAGGCCCCAGAAACTGTGCAGCAAAAATAACCCACCTCCGGGAGCTCCCTGGTGGTCTGGTGGTTAAGAGATTCGGCACTTTCACTGCTGGGGCCTGTGTTCAATCTCTGGACGGGGAACTGAGAGATCCCACAAGTCGCGAGGGCACAGCCCCCGCCCCCCCTCAAAAAAAAAACCACCTTCACTGGGCCCTGTCTGAATCCCTAATCCACAGAATCCATCAGGATTACAAAGTGGTTGCTTCACCCCACTAACTGGTAAGGTGATTTGTTACGTAGCAGGCAGACTCCATCTCTCAATCTTGCCCTCTCAGGCAGGTTCTGTTTCCTCTAAAACTCTGCACTCTCTGCCGATGGAACAAAGAGACCAAGGAAGATACAGACAACTGCAAATTAGACAAAAAATCTAAGGTTTATCATTTACTAGACCCTGGCTTTTTAACAGCCAAGGAGGCCTAAACACCCAAGGGTCAACTCTTTTCTATAATAACTGGGAGGCTGGAGAAAGCACTTGAGTTTTACAGGGCAAAGCACATTTTGAAAACATCCTGATCTTACGACTTCATCTGTACCTTGCAAATGCCTCTCTGACCAAGCTGTGATTCACACCATCAGTCCTACCATCAGTCCTCAGCAGATAACCAGGGGTGACCTACTTGCTGAAAGCAGTCCAAAAGGTACCTTTTATCACAAGAGTGCATTCCCAAGAAATCTACACAGCTATCAAAGTATCCTGCAGGATGTACTGGGTGTATTCCTTAGACACATATAGAGGGAAACCTTTTCATTTCCCCAAATCCCTATTATCTGGAATGCACTTTAACCCACCTTCAAGGATATTTCCAGACCACATTCTCTAAAGTAAACTTTGTGGTCTATTTATTCACAAATACACTGGGGAACCGAATGGTGATGAGAACTAAAATTTACTGAAGACGTACTTACTGTAGGTCAGGCACCGTGCGGGTACACCCATATACTTTCTCATTTTATGTTTATAACAACCAGCAGGTAATACCGCTAGGGCTGTTTTAGAGGAAACTGGGGTTTAGAGCAGTTAAACAACTTTTCCAAAGCTATACCACTGTAATGGGCAGAGCTGAAATTTAGACCAGGATCCGTGGGGTGCCAGAGACTGCACAGTCTCTTTCCATGATGGGCTCCCTCCTGCCTCTGCCCCCACTCCAATACTGATCCTCTCTGTGCTCTATCTACATGAGTACAGAGGAAAGTAACATTTCCCTAAGCCCTCTCTAAGCACTTTCTGAGTGCTGGCTCCTTTCATCCCCAGCAAATCTGTCTGGTGAATATTTTTCTCCCCATTTCACAGTTAAACCCACAGAGACTTAGAGAAAAGTTAAGGCGTGTGCCCAAGATCACACAGTTAGTGGCAGGTAGGGAACTATGTCCAAAACATCATGCTCTTTCCACCCCACCACGCGGTCCCCTTCTCCACCCTAAATATGATAGGGCTTTTTTACTTCCTAAATGATAGAAAAGCATTTAACTAAGAGAAAGCAATAAGAAAAGCAGCAGCCCTCGAGACCTTGATAAGTCGCCCCAGATAACTACCATCCATCTGGCACTGTCCTGTTCAGATGATGCTTTCCAGATGTACAATCTTCATGTGATCTCATGTGATCCTCACAACAGCCTTGAAAGGTTAAGTACTGCCATTCCCAGTTTCCAGAGCAGGAATCAAAACCCAGCTGGCTTAAGGAACCTGACCAAGGTTAACTGCTATTAAAGGCCTGAGGATAGACTCAGACCAGGTCTTGGAGGCCAAGGCCCACCATCTTCCCACCTCACAAGGAGTACTGCCTCTCGGGGCCCCTCTTACGGGTTCAGAAAAGAGGTAGGACACCGTTAATGGAGAAGAATCCTTATCCTAGGAAAGAAGTTAATGTAACTGGTTCTCTAAGGCAAGATCAGAGGAATGATCTACAATGATGTCATGCATCTCCTTAAGTCCACCCTCAGCACTGAACAGAAAGACCTTTTCCTTCCACAGTCCACACCTAGAACAATACTGGACTCACAAAACTCAAGCATTGTTTGATCTGACTATGACTCCTCCACCAAAGAGATGGTCCCACCCATGGAGAGGGCAGGGATCTGTGCAGTATTCACAGCCAACTTCCTAATCAGGTCAGCACACACTCAAGTTCGCTCTGAAACCTGCTTGTGACTCTCACAGATGAACTGGCATAAGCCATCAAGTCCCGCTCCGCTCCACTTAGAAAAGAACTAGAGGGTGGCTTTTCCACACTCACAATCCAGATGACAGGAAGCACCCACATCTCCCCTGCAAAAAGAATATGACTTTTTATATATGCAATAAAAAGAATATGACTTTTTATATATGCAATAAAAAGTCTAAATAAAGAAACCATAATATGGTGGCAGAAACTTCAGTGCCGGAACTTCTTTGTGGCTTGGTTTGGTTTTATTGAAACACATGTATGTCAGACGCTACATGGAATGTTTTAGAAACACTAACCCATTTAATCCTCCTAATAGCCCTATGGGGAATTACATTATCAATCCCAATGTACAGATAAGGAAACCAAGCCTGTTAAGGAAACGTTCACAAGATCAACAGCTGTCAGAAGCAGGGCTGAGGTTTGAACCCAAATTTCCCTGGCTTCAAAGGCTGTGTTTCTGTCCATGATACCCAACGCCCCCCAACCCCCCACCCAAGCTTCCCATCACTCACTGTCTACCACAGCACCTTCCAACAGGACCCTCTACATCAAAGGCTATGTGAATCTGTACACACGGGACACCCATGTTTGCTTCTGCTGAATTTCGAAAAAAATAAACTGGTGGTTTCTTAGTTTCTCAGTTATCACCAGAAAAGTCAAAGGGATTGAAGTTTTGGAAACAACAATTCTGATCTACCCGAATCACAGGCCTAAAAGTGCAATGAAATGCAATTTTTTTTTCCCCCACACTTGTGGCTGGGCCCCCAGGGTTGGTTCTGTATTTAAACTATGTAATTCAGGCAAGAAAGGATATCATTAAAATGTTGTCATGTAGCGTAAGACTTTAAAAGCATCTCTTTAATATATATAATTTACCTTCTCCTGACTTTCTCGGTAAGATTAAAAATCCTCCCAAGTACTGAAGAAACTCTCCTTGTAACTTCTTGGTGTGTCCATTCCACCCCAGCAAAAGACTGACTTTCCTCTGCTACCCTTGAAAGATCTGGGGGTTTTTATTCTTTACTAAGGAAGTTATGTTTTCTTATGTCCATTCAGAAAAAAAATACCGGAAGGGCACCTACCTCAGAAAAGAACTCGTCCATGAAAGCTGTGTTGTCAATAGCAATCTCGACCTCATCGGCATCGTCATCCTGTGTCAGCTGCTTCTGTGAGAGACAAAAAGGAGGGTGAGACCAAAAGCACCAGAAATAACGAACAGCACTGAATGCTCACTAAAGACCAGGAGCTATATCTGTAGTGAACATTTTACATACATAAACTCCTTTAAAACTCAGAACAGCTCTGTGATGTATCAAACTCTGATGTCTGAGTTTAAATCCTAGCTCCACACTTACTGATATTTTACAGGGGGATGAGGGGAAGAAGGGAGCAAGTTACTAAACTCGCTGTGCCTAGGTTTCCTTATCTGTAAAGTGCTGATAAGAACACCACTTACGTCATAGGTTCGTTTACAAAATAAATGAGCTAATGAATATAAAACACTTTGGCACAGTGCCTGGCATACTGTAACTACTAAATAAATATTATGTTTTGGTGGTGGTGGTGGTGGTATTGGTGATGTTACTATAACTCACTCCACTTGGAGAACGTAAAACAGAGAGGTTAAGTAACTTGGCCGAAGTCACACAGCTAAAATGTTGGAGACAGGCAGATTCTAGCCCATCCTCTGGATTTGGACCATATGATCCTAAACTCTTCTCCACAACGTTCAGACGCATGACCTACCCTACCGGGGATCTGTATTAAGACAGTCCCAACTCCTCCAAAGCACTAGCTTCAAATCATCACGGAAGGAGCAAACATTTTCCTGTTTTCAGAAACTACCTACTGCAAAGGAAACAGCACTGTGTGCTGTTCCCCGTCAGAGCTCATGTTTATGGGGAAAAGGAAGCTCTCTCGGCAGCCCCCAGCAACACCCGGGGACCCCGGCTTTCATCTCATTCAGCTACCTCAAGCACAAAATGGCTATCTAAAGGAAGTGCTTCCATTCCCACCCAGCTAAAGAGCCTCGCGGCCTTCTGCATTCTTCCCAGATGCTCCTCCCAGACGACTGCTGCATTACACACAGCCCACCTCTAAGCAAGGAAGACCTGGTTGTTGGGAGTGGAGGTGGGGAGGGGGTGAACCCCTCGACACCTGCTCCTCCACACCCTTCAGTGGCCTTTGGCTTCCTAAGCCAAGACATGTCACTCTCAACATGGGAACTCCACCAGCAAGGAAAGCCACCAGGGGCCTCTTTCCTTCCCCTGCTACCATCCCCCAGACCTGCTACAGCAGATGGAGTTACCGGGAATTCCCACTGAAATTTGGGACTCTCCAGCCATCCGGGGAGCCTCTTCTAACTGGGTCCTCTGTAATCTCATTCTCTGGCTTGTCTGCAACCATCAGCAACCCAAGCTTAATAGTCACATTCAAAGGAACTGAATCTGAGGACACTGCTACAGCCCCCAACAATCACCTTCCTAAAACTTAGGACTGATCCCGTCCTTTTGCCACTTAAAGTCGTTCAATGATAGTTCCCAGGATTGAAAGTCCCAAAGCCTTAACAGAGCACATGGGGCCCTTTAAGATCCAGTCCCGCCCACGTTTCTCCCTCTATGATGCATCTCTGGACCAGGCGCTTGGAAACTCCTAGCACTTCCTGGACACACCATTCTTTCATATTGCTGAACTGTCACACAAGGATTTCTTCCTGAAATGCAGCGGTCCAGCTGGCAAAATTTTACTGAGGCTTTAAAACTCAGTCTCGAACAAACTCCTCCCTGATCTGACACTCCCCGACCCCCCATGCAAACTTGAAAACCTCCCTGAGCTCCCAGTGCGTTTTATGCAAACCTTCCACAGCATCAATCCCAGCCCTCTATTAATTATCCCTTCACTTATCTATCCTTCCCCACTGACTGTAAACGCCTGGAGGGTCAGGGTTGCCTTGTGTATCCACTGGAGAAGATACTTTGAGTGTGTGCCTGCCCAGAACACTTCCCTTTGTGAAGATAACCCCCCACGTGATTCTGGGAAGGCTATCAATCACCACCCAAGCTCCCTGAGGATTCTGAATTGTGAAATGAACAGAGCCGAGTCAACCTATAGCAGCACCCAACAGAGATACCTGCTTGGTTCCCAGGGCTACCCTTGTTTCTGTCCCTCCCTAACCCATCCCTTGGCTTAGAGTTAGTTCTATAGATCTTCCCCAGTATTCTTTCAATGAGTCCAACAGTATTCTTGTAATGCTGTTTTTTATTCATTTAGCCAGAACCGGCTTCTGTCACTTGTAATTAAAATTACTTGTACTTGGGAATTCCCTGGCGGTCCAGTCGTTAGGACTCTGCTCTTTCACTGCTGAGGGCCTGGGTTTGATCCCTGGTTGGGGGAACTAAGATCCCACAAGCCATGGGGAGTGGCCAAAAAAAAAAATAAGTAAGTAAAATAAAATTACTTGTACTTGTCATTAATTAACTTACTCCACATGTATACTGAGCACTTACCATACGCTATATATGTAATGGAAACTTAATCAATTCTAGTTGAATAAATAACCCCTACCAGAGACCGGCAGCCTGGATCCACCCAGCAGTTTCTAAAGTGTGAGATAGAATGCTCCTTTTATCAACTATCATCAATACTTGGGCCTCTCAGCAGCCTCCAGAGAGCTCCATCTCCCAAAAAGGATCTCGGAGATCCTCACTAGAAAATAGGAACCTGGTCTCCCTCCAGGAAGGTGAGTTAACAGCCATTTGTTGAGTTTCCTCTCTTTGGAGGTCTTGTAGAGACCCCCACTGAGGGGATATATCCCATGTATGTGTGTGTATAGACACACATGAGGGTGTCAGCTCAGTTTTCTTCAAATAGGTACACGTGCTATGGAAATGGGATGAGGCTGCCGCCGTGGGATGGACTAAGGGAAGGTTTTGGAAGCTGGGAACACCTGTGTCCTGAAGCATGGGACCCAGGCCCCTAGCCCTCCATCATAACATGCACTTTTGAGACCCCTGGAATTTGTACAGGGATTCCCCACCCAAGACGGCCACATGTTGGCTTTGAACAGGCTCTAACAGGGCAGCCTGGGCCACCTCCAGTGAGAGGACATGTGAACTGGGAAAAAAGAAGTCTTGGGTCACCCACAACCGAGGTCCAAAACCTGTTATTACCAATAACTGGCTGTGAGACCTCTGCCAAGTCCCCTACTGACCTGAGTTTACCTGTAAATGGTAATAACACCACATACTTTATGACTTTTACGAGGCTTGGAAGAGTTCACACGTGGAAAGCTTCTAGCACAACACAGGGCACACAGTAGTGCCTAATAAGTGTCAGTTTCCCCATCACCTAGTTGTAAAGACGTGATGTCTAAAAGTGCGTGTTCTCTTCCGCGGAAAGTGCTCACACAAAGGCTTAGTCAAGAAGATGGACTCTGCAGCATCAGGACCACCAGCGTTCTATAACTGGCTTCACTTCATGCTAGTCATTGAGCCTTAAATACTGGGCTCAACATCTCTGAGCTTCAATTTCCTTATCTACAAAACAGGAACAAAAGTGTCCACCAGGGCTTTTGTGAGGATTAAGTAAGATAATAATTTTAAGTTCCTTACACAACGAATAGCACATGATAACATCTCAATAAAACAACCATACATAAGATCCAGCAAAGTCATCTTCTCTATAGCTTTAATCTGGATCTAAGTACCCTTAAACAGGAAAGAAAAAAAAAAAAGGATATAGAACTTTTAGAGCTGAATGCAACCCTACAGATTTCGATCATCAAATTCTCTCACTTAAGAGATGGGTAAACCAAGGCCCAAGACCAAATAATGAGCTACTGGAACAGCCAGGAATAGAACCCAGGTTTCTTGATTCCCATCTTCCCGTGCAGAGTTTTTCCCACTGTAGCGTGCTGCCTCCAAAATATAAAATAACGATGGCAACAAAAGCAACAGAGTTTAGTCCGGATCAGGAAATTCCAGAAAGAGGCCATCATCCCAGGTGATCTGAGTCGCGTGACGCTGGAACCAGGCTTCTCCCGGAAGGGGATCTACCAGATCCCAGGGCAAGGGTCCTTCCCCTCTGACACATCCGTGCTCTTACAGACCAAGAGGCCTCAGGGACCCCCAGGGCAAGGAAAGCACATGATGCGCTTTATCTTCAGCCCACATGACTGGGCACAGCCAAGAAGAGAACCGGCATCTTTATCAAAGCATCAAGGCATGTGATAATAGGACCTTCAGAGTAGCTACAACATCAGCTGCAGTAAAAAACGTACATGAGAACCACAAGCCCCACCATCCATTTCCTCTCCCCCGACCTCCTGCGGCCTCCCCTGCCAAGAGATGGGAGATACCACCAATGACTCAGGCAGCACTGAGCTCGAATCTGGGCTCCATCCCCCACCCCCCACCCCTCACATGTACCCCAAAACGCAGTGAGGACAGCCAGGGCTATGACTCCCTCTCTGGACACAGTGGAAAGAGTTCAGGGGCCCAGGACTCAACACAACCTGCAATTCCTCTCACTCAACCTCACTGCCTTTCTCTCCACCGCCTTCTCTGTCATCCTTAGTCTGTTCGACTGTGGGTCCCTCTTCATCAGCTCCTTTAATAAAAATAGTTGCCACCTGCAGAGCCCCTAGGAGGTGCTAGGTGGCCGCCACACTCTGGCTGCTTCATGTACGCTGTGTCAATGAACCCCTCCTAAATTCTGTCATTGAGAACCTGCAGGGTAGAGAAGTTCTCATTTATTCATGGCTTCCCAGCTACTGATGTGCAGAGTTGGGGCTCACGCTTTGGTTGTTGGTCCTGAGCCCTTGTTAATCCCACTGCACCCCACTCACAGCAGCCCAGCCCTGCAGAAAGTGGGGCTGAGAGAAAGGCCCTGGGGGCCTTGGGGACAGCACTTGTCTCCACTAAGCCTTGGCTTTCTCACCAAGTAAGGAGCTTAGCTTTCCAACGAGGCTTTGTGGAACCCCAGGAGACCTCCAGGGTGCCTCAGAAACCATGCCAGGAGGGACTTGCCTGGTGGCACAGTAGTTAAGAATCGGCCTGCCAATGGAGGGGACACAGGTTCGAGCCTTGGTCCGGGAAGATCCCACATGCCGTAGCGCAACTACTGAGCCTGCACTCTTAGCCCGCGAACCACAACTACTGGAGCCCAC